TTTTAAGGTTTAAGATATAAGATTTAAGGTTTAGAGAGGTGGTTAGGATCTGGGGATGAGACTAGGGTTTAGGGAGGGAGTTAGGGTTTAGGGAGAGGGTTAGGGTTTATGTTGTGTTTTAGATTAGATTCTGTTACAAATTGTAATGCTTTTTAAAAAAATAAAATTTGTAAGAAACATATATATATATATATGTAATTAATTTTTCTATGTTTATGTTAGTATATCATATTAATATTGTAGCTATCAATAAATTATATTATTAATTTAAATGTTAATGGAGGTTAAAGTTTCAATTAACAATCAAACAATTACATACTAAAATTAAGAGGTTAAAATGGTCTGAAAAAGTTAGTTTTCTAATAACTTTTTGGTAGACGTTACTTCCAATATTACTCCAGTCAAAGTGTTATTTTTGCAAGACCCCTTTTATAGATTTTTTTGTAAAGTTTGTGGGTTAGAACCGGTTCAGCAATTCAGTTTTAAAGGATTAATTGTTGAACTGTTTTCAGCCACTATTATGCCAATCTGCGATGTTATTTTGTATGCACTCTTCAACGAATAATCAAACGGAATGCTTCTTAACGAGTGGTGTTTCAGCAAATCTAATCTAGTTGTTTAATTTTGTTATAGTGGTTTTTATCATTTGTTGTTTATTGGTAGTTTATTTTTTATTTTTATATATTTTCTGCTATTTGTTTTTTTAAATTTCTGTCAAAACTGAAAATAGTATAAAATTTAGTTAATCCAAAAAACCGACTATGATACCATTTTACAATGTTATTTTGTGTGCACTCTCAACTGAGTATTTAAATGGGTTGCTTTTTTACGACTGATGTTTCTGCAAGTCTAAGCCAATTTTTTAATTTTGTTATAACGGTTTTATGGATTTGATTTTTTCATTGTTATTGTTTATTTGTAGTTTTTGGTCTTTTCTGGTACTTGTTCTTTTTGATAATACTTTGTAAAAGAACGGTATAAAATTCAACATTTTATCCAAAAAATCAGTTTTAAAAGCATATGATTAATTATTTATTTCGTTTATAGTGATCTTGTTAGGCTTCTGGAGACTTTTTTGGAATTACATCTGCGCCTATATCTTCTTAATTTTATTTTATTTGATTTTAGATTTTTTTTTTATCAGATTAACAAGTTATAAACACTAGATAACCAAAAAAATTTGATGCCATTTTGCGATATTATTTTGTATGCATTCTCAAACGAATTTTCAAATGGGTTGCTTTTTCACAATTGGTGCTTCTGCAAATTTAATCCAGGTGTTTAATTTTGTTATAATGGTTTTAAGGTTTTTATTTTTCGTTGTTGTTGTTTATTGGTAGTTTTTTAATCTTTTTCGCAACTTGTTTTCGTTTGTAATACTTTGGAGTATAAAATCAATTTTTACCCAAAAACTCAGTTTTAAAGCATATGGTTAATTTTCTATTTCTTTTAAGATGATTTTGTTTAAACTTTGCAGTCTTTTTGGATTTGTATTTCTACCTATATCTTTAGAAATTTTATTTTACTTTAGACTTTTGTATTTTTCGATCAGATTTAACAAGTACTCCAAAAAGAAATCGATCAGATTATAGCTTATTATAAATTTTTATATTTAAAAAAAATTGCAATAATTTTTCTTTCTATGTTTAGTATATCATATTAATATAATTACTGATCAATAAATTATATTATTAATTAAAATGTTAATAGATGTTAATATCTCCGTTAACAGTGAAACATGTACAATACTAAAATCTAAAGGAGAAAATGGTCTGAAAAAACTATTCCTAATAACTTTTTGGAAGGCATTACTTCCAATATTTCTCCAGTAAAAAGTGTTACTTTTGCAAGAGCTCGTTTATGATTTTTCTTGGAAACGTTTGTGGGTTAGAGCTGGTTCAGCAATTCATTTTGAAAGGATTAATTGTTGGATCATTTTCATCTACTATGATGCTAATTTGAAATGTTATTTTGCATGCACTTTCCAATGAATATTCAAACAGATTGTTACTTAACGATTGGTGTTTTTGCAAGTCTAATCTAGCTATTTAATTTTGTTATAATGATTTTTATGGTATTATTTGTTTTTGTTTATTGGTAGTTTTTTTAATCCTTTTTCTAGTTTTTTTGTTGTTGTAATTTTTTGTCAAAGCTGAAAGTATAAAATCTAATTATTTATCTAAAAACCCTCACTATGATACTCTCCACCGAATATTCAAATGGGTTGTTTTTGACGATTGATACGGCCGCAAATCTAAGCCAACTATTTAATTTTCTTATAATGATTTTAAAGATTTTATTTTATTTTTTGTTATTTTTTATTGGTAGTTTTTGGTCTTTTCCGCTATTTGTTCTTTTTGGTAATAGTCTGTCAAAAACAAAAATAGTATAAAATCTAAAAGCGTATGGTTAATTATCTATTTTGTTTATGGTGATCTTGTTAAGATTTTATGGACTTTTTTGGAATTGTATCTACGCCTAGATCTTCTTAAATTTTATTTTATTTTATTTTATTTTAAACTTTTGTATTTTTTGATCAGATTAACAAGTCATAGACACTAGATTACAAAAACAAAAAATCTGATGCCATTTTGCGATATTATTTTGTATGCATTCTCTAACGAATATTCAAATGGATTGCTTTTTTTTACGATTGGTGCTTCTGCACTAATCCATGTGTTTAATTCCGTTATAACGGTTTTACGGTTGTCATTTTTCGTTGTTGTTCTTTATTGATAGTTTTTTGGTCTTTTTCGCAATTTGTTTCTGTTTGTAATACTTTGTCAAAACCAAAATGGTATAAAATCTACCTTTACCCAAATAATCGGTTTTAAAGCATATGATTATTTTTCCATTTCTTTTATGATGATCTTGTTTGGACTTTGCGGTCTTTTTGGATCTGTATTTGCTTCTATATCTTTGGAATTTTTAGTTTATTCTAGACTTTGTATTTTTTGATCGGATTTAACAAGTAATCAACACAACAATAACACTAAAGTCTCTGCATAGTTTGACACCTCAGCTTTTTTAAGCTTTATAAACATGACACCTTAACAAAAATAATCACCAATCAAAATATTTTATTAATACATCTCATCTACTTATTTTAATTTTTAAACTTAAACACATTAAAAACCTAAATATTTTTTCTATTAATTTTTGTTTTATTTTTTTACCAAACCCAAGCCCAAATAATTAATAACAGTAAATAAAAAATGATTATTTTATTTTTTACCAAATCCAAACCCAAATAATAAATAAAAACTAAAAAAAAATTAAATCATTGTAATCTCTTTTTTTTTGCCAAAACCAAATCCAAATAATAAATAACAAAAAATAAATAATAAAAAAAATTTAGCTATCTGTTTGTTTGACATATACGTATATGATTGAAAAAGTATAGATTCAGCATCAACTATGCTTCCATGACAACAACTCAAAAAGCCTTATGTTATAAGAAGCTCACACATCAACAAAAATTTATTAGTTTTCGCGGAAAAACACAATTTCACGTGAGATAATATAATTTTTGGTTTTTGCGGAAAATTGTAGTTTATTTGTTTTTATAGGAAAGCGTGATTTTGGGCTTGACGAGAAAATGGTTTTTTTTTTTTGGCAGGAATAGACGATTTCTCAGTTTTTGCAGGAAAAATAAATTTTTTGATTTTGGCGGGAAAATACAAATTTTTTTTTTTTTTGGTTTTTGCAGGAAGATGAAATTTGTTGGTTTGTGTGAAAAAACGTAGTTTCTCGACTTTGGTGGAAAAACACAGGTTCTCCCGGAAAAATGAAATTTTAGGTTTTAGGTTTGACGAGAAAATAAATTTTTTGGTTTTGGCGGGAATAGCTGATTTTTCAGTTTAATCAGAAAATGAAGTTTTTTTTGTTTTGACGGGAAATGCGATTTCTTGATTTTTGTAAGGAGATGAAATTTCTCTGTGCTAAATTTCCAAGTTAAAGTATGTTTACAAAAACCAAAATTTAATTATTTAACTTTAACTAAAACGATATTTTAAAAGTTCAAACATAATTTTTTATTTAGTTCTAAAGCAATAGCAATGATTTTAGTATGAATGTTATTGATTATAATTTGGTAGTTTTAGAAACATATGTTTATAATAAAATATTTGATAAATAAGAAATTTTATAATTTAAAATAATCATATTAATTAATAAATCTTTTTTTAAATTGTATTTTGCTTTATATAATTACAAAGGAGGATCATGTGGTAATTTATTGGAGAAAATAGATTACATTTGTCATTAGCATGAATGTACTAAAAATGTATTGTTTTATTCTTATATATTTTATTCCTATATATATATTTATAATTAGTTAGCTAACTAAATTTAATAGAAAATTATTATTTAAAAAAATATATATAATGTTTATTCAGATTTAAAACATATAAATATATAACTTAAGCTAATAAAAAATAAATATAATATTCATTTACATTTTAAAAATAATTTCATTATATTAAAAATATATACAAAATTTAGAAAAATATAGCCTGCAGCATAGCGCGGGTAAATACCTGGTATATACTAAATAACCAAAAAGAAATCGATCAGATTATATATTTTTCGAATTGTTTTCTAACCGAAATTAGGATTCTCTGAAGAAGGAGGATCAATTTGTAAAGGAAAAGTGAGAGAGTGATCGTCAACGACAAGAATCTTATCTTGTGCATACTCTTATGATTGACACAATAGAAAACGAACCCAAACTGATTGATGCTTGTGAATAAGATAAAGTCCCCCCCCCCATCAACCTCTTATCCTCCTCATATGTTCACTCTTATCCTGCGCATATGTTCATCCTTATTGTGCACACCTCAAAAACTAACAAAAAAACTAGTTCCACAAAACTTCAAAAGCAAAGAATCTGACCCATTCATATACGTTTCACAAACACTATCATGCCCACCACACGATTAACCCAAAGCAGAGTGAGTTAGGAGAGAGAAACAAAGAAAGAGAGAAGAGAAGCAATCGAAATGGAGAGTGTGGAGGTGACATGGAGCAGAGAAGAAGAGAAAGCATTCAAGAACGCAATTGCGATGCATTGCATAGAGGAAGAGATAACAGAGGATCAATGGAGGAAAATGGCGTCAATGGTTCCAACCAAATCACCAGAACAAGTAAAGAAACACTACCAAATCCTTTTAGAAGATGTCAAGGCAATCGAGAATGGCCATGTCCCTCTACCTCGTTACCACAGAAAAGGCACCGCCGTCGACGAGGCAGCAGCAGCAACTTCTCCGGCAAACAGAGACTGTCATTCCTCTAGCGGAAGCGGATCATCCGAGAAGAAACCAAATCACGGTATAAGCAGCTCCAATGCCGGAGAAAGTGGAGGAAGAGGAAGAAGAGGTTCCAAAGCTGAGCAAGAGAGAAGAAAAGGGATTCCATAGACAGAAGAAGAGCATCGGTTTCTTCTTCTTCCTCTTCCTCTTCTTCTTCTTTAGTCAACGAGAATCTCAAAGTGAAAAAGATCTCTCCTTTATTCAATTCTCTGTTTTGTCTTGTCTTGAAAGGTTGTTTCTTTTGGGTTTGGACAAGTTTGGGAAAGGAGATTGGAGAAGTATCTCAAGGAACTTTGTGATCTCAAGAACACCGACTCAAGTAGCAAGCCATGCTCAGAAATACTTCATCAGGCTTAACTCAATGAACCGAGACAGAAGACGTTCCGGCATTCACGACATCACTACTGTGAACAATCAAGCTCCTGTGGTTACAGGAGGAGGAGGACAACAACAACAACAACAACAAGTGGTTAAACATAGACCAGCTCTTCAACAGCCACAGACGCAGCCGCAGCCGCAACCGCATCATCCGGGTTCAACAATGGCTGGACTAGGGATGTATGGTGGTGCACCAGTTGGACAGCCGATCATCGCACCGCCTGATCATATGGGTTCAGCTGTTGGAGCACCTGTGATGCTTCCATCTCCAATGGGAGGTCATCATCACCATCACCATCTTCATCATCATCATCTTGGTGTTGCTCCTTATCCTGTACTGGCTTATCCGGTTCCACCAATACCGCAGCATCATCCAGCTCCTTCGACTATGCATTGAAAAACACAGTTGGTGTAAAACTGATCGTATATTCTCAAATCGAGTAGCGGGAAAGAAAACAAAAAAACTGAGAGACTGAGACGAGCAGCAAATAATGTACAGCAGATGAATCTGTTTTTTTTTCCTATTTCAAGAATCTATGATTTTGAATTTTTCAGTGAATTCTTGGAAACAAAAAGTCTATATATATATATATATATATTCAGAAGGGTAGAGAGAAGTATTTTTTTTTCCCTAGAACTCTGACATGTTGCAAGAAGCTTTCTTGTAACTCCAATATGTAAGAGCATCTCCATCAATGACTCTTAAGGGTTTTTTAACAAAATTTCTTAAATTAAAAAATTAAAAACAAATCATCAAAATGCAAATAGTGTAGCAAACGGTTGTTAAGTAAGGATTTCCAGAAATATTAAAAAACCCAACTGTGTCTATTTGTGATTGGTCGATCACTTTTTAGATTAAAAAAAAAACAATTAGTTACCGTTTCTTTAGAACCTTTAATGTGTTCTACCAATGGAAAGGAAAAAAAACAAAATCTTGTAAAAGAATCTTTAAAATAAAATGATGGGAAATATATATTAAAAAAATTGTTAAAAACTCTAACTGGAGTTTACCGATGGAGATAGTCAACAAAGTGTGGACCTGAACACTTGACATAATGTAACCACTTGAGCAACTATTACCGAAATTGCAACTGGATCTCTTATTCCAGGAGAAACAAATACCAAATCCAACAATATGATAAGATGAGAGAGAGAGATAATAGGCCACACTGACACTGATAAAAACTTAGTACTAAATATTAAGTGTTATAAATCCTTACAAGAAAATAACTATATAGTTGCCAAATTGGTGAGAGATAAGATTCCAAAGAACTATATAACAAAAAAGAAGAAGAGATTATTATAAAGAAATGAAGTGGCTTGAAATCTTAGGATAGTTTCAGAAATAAGATAGTAATTAAAAGCAATTAACTTAACTCTGTATTACTCTTCTTCAAGTGCTGCTTTAGCCTCAGTGTTTATAATATAGAATTCTTGTGCTACTCAAGCATAAAATCTGCATCAAGAAATCAACATAGCTGATTTGTAGCTAATGTTCTTTCTTCATCATGGGAGAAACAGATTAAAATAATATAAGACAAAGAGAAGCCAAACGTACAAAACAATCCAACAGTATTCAACTTCATAATCGAAGAACAATTTGTTTCACTCAGAAACCCTAATCACAGTGTATTTCGGATTTTAGGGTTTAGGCGTAAGTTGAAACTTCCCGAAAATTCGTTTAGGAAAAGCGCTTAAAAGATAAATTCGATCTACGAACCAAATGCTAAAGGGAGGTGAGAAAGTTATTTCAACGTTTAAACTTAAACAAGGCGTGTGGGTCTGTTTGGCCCAGTATTACAATTATTAATATATTTATTTTAAAAAATTAAACGCCGTTGCCGGGGATCGAACCCGGGTCACCCGCGTGACAGGCGGGAATACTTACCACTATACTACAACGACTTGATGACTTGCTTATCATTTTTGTATTATATTATTTATATCTGCTAGTTTTGAATTGAGAAGTCCATTGTCTCTCTTTGCCGCTTTGGCGCCGTGAATCATTTACTCCTTAGCACAAGTCAAAGTCTTTTAAGCATGTGCACGCACAATCATGCCTACCATTATCAAAGTAACAATAATTTTACCAAGTCAATTAGCAATGATTTTTTTTTTTTAAGTCCCCACCAACAGAAGCTAACAAATTTAAAGCATATATCGCTCTTGTTTAAGTGAAGTTTAGTTTAGTTTTGTGATACAAGTAGATAAAGTTAATTGTTTCTTTATTGTTGCGGATATACATATATAAATCCTTTTTCTATCTATTTGTAATTATTTATTATACAACTATATACAAACAAGCTTCTTCAGCTAAGGATTATATATTTCACGCAGCTGTTACAGTACATGTTGACATAGTCGTGACAGTAGAGCTAATTGCATTACTAGGTATAAACAAATTAAAATATCAATTATACCGAACTAATTTATATGCTACATTATAATGTTGTTACAAATAAAATGTGCAAGGATGTGACGAAAAATTCAAACTAGTCCAAGTTGTATAGAATCGACCTTTATATAAACTAAACCTCCATTCAAGAGTTTCTTTTCACAATACAAGAAAAGAAGGACAAGAAAGAAAAGATTTAAACCTTAACCCTAATCAATTATTCAATTATCGTGGGTTTAGTTACAAATGGGTCGACCAGACCAAGGTCCGGTGTTTCATGCTCAATCTGCACCTGTACATCCAAACGGTGTACCGATGGGCAGACCGGGTCAGCCAAATGGAGTACCAATGACCGGAACGGTTTACCACCAACCATCGAACTGGACTTCAGGACTTTTTGATTGCATGAACGACGGAGGAAATGGTTAGATTTTTTAAAAGAATTCAATTATTTTTGGTTTTGGGATATCATGAGCCTGATCTAGAGCCGGATTTTCTTTTGGTTTTATTCAAGAAAATTTGGTTCTAGATCCGGTTTAGTTAAAAGAAAAACAAAATTCATTTTAAATAGATAATTTTAATCAATATGATATAGTTAAATGTAATTTTTAACATAAATTTATCTAACCATATTATGTTATATGATGTCGTTCGGTTCAATTACACAAATTACTGTAGGGTTCTGATTTAGATTCGGTTTGGTTTATTGATGTATTTTTTTATTCTTTAGATAAAATTCTGATTTCTGGTTCGGTTCAATTTTTTCCCACCCTAATTTTATCCTACTACATAGTATTTTTAACGCCTTTGTTGTCTTCTCGAATCAGCTCTCATCACATGTTTCTTCCCGTTCATCACATTCGGACAGATTGCTGAGGTTATCGATGAAGGGGCGACGAGTAAGTATATTATGATTAATATATAGATTATGATTGATAACTTAGACATTCTTGAAAAGTATTAATTAATATGTAGATTATGACTGATAACCTACAAATTCTTGAAAAGTCACTATCTATGTTTAACTCAAAATATCAAATGGCTAAATTAACGGAAAATGATCATTCCATAAGTTTTGTTTACTTAATGATCGTGTCATATTATCTCGCATATTATGTATATTTCCACGATGTTGTGATTTTATAACATTACCAATCAATAATATCTGTATGCAGGTTGTGGGACGAGTGGAATGTTATATGGATTGATCTGTTGCCTATTAGGTATACCGTGTGTTTACTCATGCACATTCCGGGCCAAGCTCCGAAACAAGTACGGGTTACCAGATGCTCCGGCTCCGGATTGGATCACTCATTGTTTCTGTGAATATTGTGCACTTTGCCAAGAATATCGTGAACTCAACAACCGTGGCCTTGATCCTGCCATTGGTAATCAACCAGCTCTTCTCTCTGGATTAATCTAACTACTTTTTGATTATTTAATTGATTTGTGTGTGTGTGTGTGTTACTGTTTAATTGACGTAGCTAAGATCTTGGTGTAACTAGGGTGGATCGGGAATGTGCAAAAGCAGCGAATGGGTCAGCAACAAGAGATGATGGCTCCTCCAATGGGTCAACGGATGGGTTGACTTGGGATTTGTGTGTGTTTTCTTTATTTCTGTGTACTCATTTATTTACGACCGAAAATAAATGTCTTCGTGTTCGCGGCTGGGCAACTTTATTAATAATGCTGCTAATTATTTGTGTTCTTTTTTTTTGTCCTCATTTATTTAAGAACATAAATGTTCCAAACTTAAAAATGAAGGTTGAGTGAGGACCAAAGAGATAAGACTCTTTCTCAAGCCAAACTCTTGCATGTAACATAAATAACTGGTCATCAAACTTATTCCTAGTGATAGATTAAAGAATCCTTCTTAATTACCAAAATCTCTTTGTATAAATGAACTGTTAACTTGCTCATTGAATTTGGAGGTCTAAAACACATAATTATAAATAGAGCTTGGTTTAAGCATATATATATGAACGAGTTTGGTTCAATTTTGCCAGAAAATATCGTTCATGGTGGTTTCAGGGGAATTTCGAAAAGACATGAGGAAATTTTTTATAGTTTCAATGAGAATCAAGAAAGCTACAAAAAAACATTTCAGAATTTTCAAAAAGATATACCGGAAATCTTTGGGTCAACATGACTTGATATACAACCTGAAGTGATGTTTTAGGATGATAATTTGAGACTTTAGTATATCAGTAATCAGTTTGATACTTTTCCCGAAATTAGAATTTCCAAAACCCTATTGTATATTGTTAACACTCCGAATCCATGTAATTAATAAATTGTTACATTTTAAGGCATTTCATTGCCTTTATTTTCCTCAACTGAGTTTTAAATTTATAGCATTCCAAGCCAAACCACTTTACAACTTAATCATTCAAACAAATCAATATCTGACCGTTCATTACGGTTTTCTTTAAAGTCAACCAATTAATTAAGGTACTCTTTTTTGGTGCGAGATGTTACAACGGGCTTCTAAACTGTTCTATGATCCTATATATAATTCCTAAATATTACCGAAAGTTACAATATCTCACACTCACTTTCCAAACATTCAGTTTTCCAAGAACTTAGAATCATAGACTTTTCTCTCTTAGAGCGCATCTTAGAAATACACCACTCCCTTGAGTATTGTCATGGTGGTTAAAGTCAGATAAGTATATGATAATTATAATTTAGTGGACGCACATTTGACTAGTATGTGATTTTTTACAAAGTTCATTTGAATTTGAATTGTATGTTTGCAATAGCTCAATCTCAATTTCAATAGCTTAATTTTAATTTCAATTTTAATTTTTTTTTTACAACAGTTCTTGTGAAATTCATTTTGTAACAAATTTTGAATATCGTAATAAAAAAATACGACAAAATTACTCGCAATGGCTTTGGCTTAATATAGATATAAATATGTGCCCATTTTCCACATAAATAGCAGTGCGATCTCAAGAATAGGTTAAACTTCCAAACAAAAAATAAATGTACACTCATAGGTCCATGTTCAAAGAACGTGACAGTAGAGCTAGTTCCATTAACAAGAATAATTAACGAGCAAAAATATTTATTAATTTATATGCAACATTGTCATACTGTATTATAAAAAAATAAGTGCAAGATGGGACGAAAAATTCAAACTAGTTCAACTTGCATGAAATCGACCTTTATATTTGTCAACATAGGATCGACCTTCATATAAACTAAACTTTCATTCTAATTTCTCTTCACTATACAAAGAAGAAAAAAAAATAACACAAACCTTTCTTTCTCAAAACCTACCTACTATTCGGTTCACAAATGGGTCGACCAGATCAAACTCCGAGTCCGAGAATGAACAACAACTTTAATCCAATGTTTCATGCACAACCACCACCTGAACAACCGGTTTACGAAAAGCAAATGGTCGAAACCGAGCAGAAATATCCCAACAATGATGGAATGGTTAACCAACCAGTCGGAGTACCGAATATGGGCAGACCGACTCAACCGACGTATATCAATCCAACAGTTAACCAACCTTATGGTGTACAAATGGCCCGACCGGTCATTATTAACCAACCATCGTCGAACTGGACTTCAGGGCTTTTTGATTGCATGAACGATGGCGAAAATGGTTAGAAACTCAAAAAAATTTAAATTCTTTTAAATTTATTGGTCCGTTTATTGTTACCTAGTGTGATTTTGATGTCTTCGTTATGTTTTCTGATCAGCAATCATCACATGTTGCTTCCCATTCGTGACGTTCGGACAGATCGCAGAGGTTACCGATGAAGGCGCAACAAGTAAGTACATACATATAATCTCATATGTTCTTGCCAGTCTGCGACGCGGGTTATCATTTTATTTCGTGTATTTTTATTTCTTTCACGGTTCCATGATTATATAGTGTTACGATGGTCAAAACATTACTATATATTTGCCTTTTTGTTTATGTATATGTAAATATGTGTGCGCAGGTTGTGGAACGGGTGGAATATTGTATGGATTGATATGTTGCTTGTTTGGGATACCGTGTGTTTACTCATGCACATTTCGGGCCAAGATCCGAAACAAATTCGGGTTACCGGATGCTCCAGCTCCAGATTGGACCACTCATTGTTTCTGTGAATATTGTGCACTGTGCCAAGAATATCGTGAGCTCAAGAATCGTGGCCTTGATCCTTCCATTGGTAATTGACCCATCTCTTATTAGTTCTCTATCAAATAATCCAACTTTCAGTATTTTAAATTGTAGTTGTTGACTTTTTTGCTTGTTAATGTTTAGTTGACTAATTAGTTAATATTTTGGTGTATATAGGATGGAGTGGGAATATGCAAAGGCAGCGAATGGGTCAGCAACAAGAGATGATGGCTCCTCCCATGGGCCAACGAATGATGGGTTGACTTAGATGAATTTTATTACATCAACATGATATTTGATAATAATGCTAGTTATTTGTTTTTATTTATTCCACGACCAACAAATAAATGCAACAAGGCTTCGTTTTCGTGGGTGGGCATGAACTAATAATCTAATGCCGTATTTGATACAATTTGTTGAAATGATCATATGAGTGTAATAATGTGAATCCACTTGATATTCTTTTAAATTCTAAAAATAAACAAATAATTCCTCGGCTATGACTCAATTTATGTCTTTTCCGCAAGAAAACAATTACACCTTACGGTCTTTACTCCTTACCACTAGTTTTTCAATAATATAAAACCTTTAGCGTTACATATCAGAGCTTAAGCTGTTACATAGAGTAATTTACTTGCATCTTTTGCTAAAGCGTAAACTACATTGTTTGATTCTCTTTTGATATGCAAAAAGACGAAACTGTATTTAGGATGCGCGGTTTTGTGTATGTCTCAACGTCTGCAAGATTGATAGCTATAGAGAGATGTTTCCAATTTTGGTTCATTCTACCTTGATCATGGAGAAAATTGTAGATTATTATTGAATCTCAACGAAAGGTGCCTTTTGTATTTAGCCAATTCTTTTTGATTTGAGTGACTGCCGAAAGCGAGGCTTCAGCTTCTGCTTCAAAATGGATTAATTGCTAATGATCCTCTGATGATTTGTATGCCAACTTTGTTGTACAGAGATCATCCAGTTCATGTTCAGAAACTTCCATATATTTTTGTTCCTGATCTGATTTTTGTAGCTTGCCTTATGATTTTTTTATACACTTATATTGTAGTTTTGAAGGGTCACATTTTTTGAAAATTCATCTTAGTTTAGCTACTTAATTTTTTTTTGTAATGATAATTAGTTTTTCTAATGTTTGAATCTTAATCTAGTTATTTTGTTTATATATATATGATGCTTTTTTTACCAAAATTTTCAAAATATGTTTATCTTATTTTGCTTATCATTTTTTTAGTGTTATATTGGTTGAATGAGGGAAAAGCGGTCAATTCTCCTATAAACTAACAAGTTCCTAACGATTCATATATGACATATTAACCAATGCTAATAACTACATGAATACTTAGATGAATTTTTCTTGGATCCGTCTTCAAGAAAAACGAGTGGTTTACAATTGTAACTAGAAAATGCTAGTGAAATATGAGGATCATTCTCAACGAGATCCAACGAAAGCCGAACGTAACTATTGAAAGCTAGACCAAGGATTTGAAATGAGAGAGAAGACAGATGAATAATTTATTTATTAATTTCGTCTTAAGGTTTACAATTGCGTGGCTCATACGTTTATACCGAAACATAAAACCCTAAAACAAGAAGATGTTGCAAGGGAAAGCAGTGTTTCAAAGACTTTTTGTCAAATTGAAGTGAAATTACGCAAACAGATGAGCCAACTTGAGGTGGGCCCATTATCGACTTTGTCCATTCTGTGTGGTGGGTATTAAAATCGAATCAAATCGCAAATGATTTTGGAAAAACGGCCAATTCTCTTATAAATATGTTATTTTACATTGCATTCATTCAAGGTACTAAGAGTAACTGAATTAAAAAAAAAAAAAAAGGATGGATTCTTCAAAACATTGTATAATAAAATAAATTTTATATACTAATTTTGAGAAAAGTTAACTTCTATCTCTTTCTATTGCAATGAATGGATTTTGTTAAATAAATTGGCATGGTCGCTTCATATTATTGAAGCAGTTCTAATTGGACTAGTGGACAAATGTATAAGATATGTAGTTAAATATAAAAAGATGCAAATTCAATCTAGTGCAATGTACTAATATATCAATGATTTTGGAAGCATTGCATAGCATGCTTAGGCATGGAAGAGGAATTATCCAACCCATGTTGATTCCTTTCTTTTAATATAAAGATCGTTTTTTCTTTTTATTTTTCCTCACATTTTTTGCTTTACTCGAACATATAAACGAAAAAATGTCTTCAATCGCTGTCAAAGCCCTGAAAGTCTTGAAACAAAGTTTGGAACTTCAAATCCAGAATCAGGAAGCATGGATGTCCAACTAAAAAAACTGCATGCCAGCCATGATTTTCTACATAAAAGAGCAAACAAAAATAATATCGTCAGAGGGAGGAAGTTGGCTAAGAGAGACACCATGATTTTATTTGAAATTGAAGTTTTTTTTCTAGTTAGAGTTTCTTACTCTCTCTCTCAGGTTTATAATAGAGAATTCAAAAACAAACCAAAGATAAAAAATGTTAGTCAAAAAGTAAATTACATACCAAGAGAGGCTCTGAAATTTATGCATCAATCCATGCCAGCTCTGAAATAATAAATCCCCTAAAAAATAAGGTTCAGCTCAGCCACTATGCTTACCGACTTCAGATGTTCTCTTAAACATTCGATAAAGCCACTCCCACCAATCACCTCAGCATCAGATTCAATTTTATTAGGTTATCAATATATAAAATTTCTGAAAAATAATAATTGAGAATCTAAAACTAATTTACGTCAAAGTCAAATCCACTAAAAGTTCAAAAAAAAAGTCAAATCAAATATGAGATGCGATGCGATGTTCAATTCCATATTGCATTCATTCAAGATACTAAGATTTTGAATGTGATGCAGATAAAATGCAGTATAAATGCAGATCAATAGAAATGCAGATCAATCTGCAACAAATCTGCCATTCACACATTTTATTGCAGATCAAAAAATAAATAATAAAATATAATTGATCTGTATGCAGATCAAAATTTTGTTGTCTTTTAGTGAGAAAAACAGAACAAATTTACTATATTTCTTTTTTGACCAGAAGGCTGCAGATCAAACAGTTTTTTCTGATCTGCACTTGTTATGCTTCATCTGCATTTTTTATTTGATCTGAATTTTTTGTATCTACTTTCCATTCAAAGCCTAAAAGTAATTGAATTCAGAAAATTTTCCAATAGAAAGAGATAGAAGCTTGAGATCCAAGTAGACATGAGAGATGACAGCTCATTGAGTTTAATGGGAGTGAGTCCATTTACAACATCACACACGATAATAGTGGCAGAGCCGAAATCTTTTTTTATTGGGAGTTAATAAAATTAACATAATTTATAAATTACCGTATATTGTTACAAATATAAAAACTATTCAATGAAAAATAAATTTCAGAAAAATCAAACAAGACAATCACTTAAAAACTAATCACTGATTATGTATCATTTATTAATGAACATTTTCTTTCAAAAATCTATCCATTAGTTATTTTGTTAAAATAAAAAATAAAGATATTCAAATTCATATATTATGTATATAAACCTTAATATATATGAGTTTAAACCTTTCCTATCATATCTAATTTAATAAAAAAACATAATTTAAAGAGATTAAAGTAAATTAAAAATATATAAAGAAAATTAACTTGAACAAGTGACTAGGTGAGATATTTTTACTTTTTTTTTGTCATCTCACTTATTGACTAATTGCATCATCCATTATAATTGGGTTAGCACTTGTCCAAACAGATTCTAGATAAAGAAAATTTAAAAGAAAAGAGAAAGTATAATTTGCCAAACCATCTGCTAAGTAATTCGTTTTCCTGTAAACATGAGTAACGTGGACTATCTAATCCCTTAAAATAAAACTATAACACAATCATACTAGAATAGATAGAGGATGGTTATCGCTTACCCCCATCATCAAAAACCCAACCACAAATATGGTGTCAATCAAGCCGAAGAAGTCTGCATAAATTCCAAATCGACTCAATGCTCACATGCTACATAAAGCCTATAATGAACTCTCCATAATTCTGTTAATGGTGTAAGTGTCACCTCCTAAGCTAAATCTTTTAGAAATCGAACCCTATCTTGGCATTTTCTAATCGATCTAAACACATTCCCACACCGCCACTTCCATTCTCACCATATTGTCAATGCGAAAGCTGTTGACCATGTACTATTCCCCACCACTCATTCATCTCCCAGGTTTTTATAGACCCATTCCAACAATGACATATCAAAGAAAACTTTTTTATTTTTTTAGCGGGACTATACAAATCTAAATCTCAGCTTTCGCTGTTTTTTCATATTTGTCATAATAACTTGATAAACAACAAGCCATAGGAACATTCTTACTCTCTCTAGCGCAATGACTTTCCATACACAATTAAAGAAACTCAACATATCTTGTCGTGGCCGCTTATTCTTTGTTATAAACGAGTAAACCGATTTAAATGTAATGTTTTACTTTGTTTTAGTTTTTTGGTTAACAATAAGAAATTAAAAAAAACACATGAATTAAATGTAATGATGAATGGAAAGGGTTTGTTGAGTTTTTTTTTTTTAATGCTTTATTAGCTAATAATTAATTTAAACTCGTAAAAGTGCCGAACTGTTTTTGTAAAGTGGGTTTAAATTAAAACTGAGCTCAAAACCAAAATAAAATTAATTGCTTAATTTATATTTTTTGTCTTCCATGTTTATTTCTTTTTGTTTATGAGGTCAACTAAAAAAATTAGTGGAGTCATAAACAATTTAACCAAAAAAATTATATAATTTTTTTAATATGCAAAAAGACGAAACTGTATTTTGCATGGAAGAGCTGTTTTGTGTACGTCTCAATGTCTGCAAGATTGATGATAGCTATGGATAGCAAAATCAGACAAAATTTTCTTCATCCGCAAACCTCAAAAGGGCATAAAAGCAAACAGATAAGGAAACAACAAAATACAAAAGATACACAGAAATAGACAAAGTTGTGGAAGACATATCAGATGTTGATGGTCGCATCCCACAGCCGAAGAACTCCATTCCGGCCACCGCTACATATCCTTTTCCTCTCGAGATCCGAGGCAACACATCTCACCTGAATCACAAATTTTGATTGTCTCAGTATAACACAAAGAGATACAGCATAACTTTATACTGATGTGAAAAGAGGATCGTTTATCGTACCACTGCGGCTGTTCTCTGTGGTACTCTATAAAGTTGCCAGCCTGAGACTTTGTTTCCGGCGTTAGAAGGACGATGGAACAGAGACATTGAGTTATCTGCTGCTCCAATGCCTAACCAATGTTCACCGGCGTTGATTGATAGTATAGACGAACTATGGAGCGTTATGTTCTTCACGCATTTAATGCCCTCTGGAAAAACCAACAAAAACTAAGGTATATGTTTGGTGCAGCTTATAGTTGGTGTTTATAATTGCTAGATGTGATTGTAACATAAGTGTACTATAGAGTTTAGGAAGCAGCTGCATAAATTTAAGAGTCAAGGCTAATAATGAGATTCTTACCGCCATCATTTTCCCAAAATCGGAGCAATCCATCAGCCGAGCCTGCAAGAAAAAGACAAGCAATGCACTAACTTAAGCTTTGATATTATTTACGAGATTACTGCCTTCTCATTGATTTCTTTTGAGAATTGGTTTAGATGAAATCATCATGGACCTGTGATTATTCCTCTGTCCAATGAGGAATATTCAACAGCTTGTACTGGCCCAGCATGGCATGCCAAAACGGCATCGCATGATCCTCTGGAGACAGACCACACTCTTGCTGTCCAATCATCGCTCCCGGTAATCAAGGTATCATCGACCATTCGTATTGATCTGCAGAATTGACACGATTTGATCAAACAAGTCACAGATCTGAAATATCATAATATCCTAGAGCAGTTATACAAAGTCTAAAAACAAAGGGTTAACATCAATCAGTTCCATAATAAGAATAATACAACTCGCAAATAGAACATTTTGCCAAAACTTGTAAGAAAAATTTAAGCCATAGGGTTATAAAATTGTGTTTATATAAGATCATAACAAATGAAACATGTTGAAGAGATCATTGTGAGGCTCACCGTATCCATTTTGTATGCCCTTTCAGTTTATGCATCTGCTTTCCTGAACGAAGATCCCATATATTCGCGACCCTGATTATTAATCATACGTAAGTGACATTCAATGCAGAAAATCCATATGTTACTTATGTGTAATATAGCATACATACGTATCTCTGCCAGCAGCAGCCAAGATTCCTGTGGAGTCATCATATTCAATCGAAAGAATGGCACTTGAGCATCGGCCAACAGTTGAGACACACATATCAGTTCGCACATCCCACATCTTAACTGTTCCATCATGTGCAGCAGTGAGGACACGTTCACCTGAGATCATCTTCACACAACTAACCTGCACGATATTTTTGGATGTACCGTTAATAAAAGCTTCCACCTTGGTGCCTTATTGACTGATTGATAGTTAATAGTTGGTCAATGATGTTAACTTTACAAATTTCAATGGTCGTTGATCATTTGTCAACACTGTGCAGATGCGCCAACATTCTCCAAATGGAATTCCAATAATTGATAGTGATCTGATTATTTAATTATCTCCATGTCTATATGTTTATTCTCTGTTGATAATTAATTCTTAACGCTGGTGAATTGTGTCCTAATATCTGAAAAGCACAAAGAGTGTAATGGAAACCTGTGCATCGTGGCCTTTTAGTTCTTCTAGAAGCTGAGTTGTCTGTTTGTCCCATACGATAACAGATTGATCATCTGATCCTGAAACTATCTTTCCTCTGTCAGAGCTTATAGCACGAACGGTTCTACATCAAAAGTTGAAAAGGAAAAAGAAAGGAAGTTAAAAAAAAAACAGCAACATGTGCCATATTAACTAAAAACCCACAACTCCTGAGAGGCATCAAGGCAAATAAGAAATAGAGTATACCCAGTATGTCCTTTCAGGGTCGCTCGAAGTTCAGAACCACGCAGACTTGGATCCCAGATTTTAACCTGCAGTCAAAAGAGGATGCTACGTAATTTTTAACCATTCTATTAGCAGGAAACTACGCTTAACCTCTATCTTACACCTCCAACATCTCCAACACTTATTAGTCGAGTAGTTTGAATTCCAAGAAATGCAACAATGAAAGACTATCCTATTTGAGAGAGCGATTTCTCTTGAGTAATGACTATCGCGTATAGCAAGTTGACACATTGCAACGGAAAAGAAGCATCATACAGAATTACAGATTAATGTTCTAATTCTACGTTGGCATAATTATTCTTCCGAATGTTCCAATTTACTATATCCAAAACGATAGTAACATTAATAGCAAAATAATACAGTTATCTACATAAAGAATGAACTACTGCTTGACCCTCTAAGTAATGATCTTTACACCTACGAGGTAAGAATGCAACCATCGTTTAGACCTAACAGAACACAAAACTCTTTAAGTCATTAAGGTGTGTGTTCTCAACGATATCAAGAACATTCATAGGTGCAAAGAATAACTAAGTGGTTAAAAAACTGCGAATGAAAACTAACCATATAAATATTCGTTTAAACGAGCATTTTTTACCGACCTGACAATCTGTACTGCCACTGATAAAGAACCCAGCATCCTCGCGATCGCCCACAAGATCATAGACTTCCCTTCTAGTCACAGAATGCAAGGCGGTGACAGCACCACTGTGACCCTTCAGAACACGTACATTGGTCTGAATTTTCTTCTGTGCAGCAGCAGTAATGTCTGTTTTGCCAAGTTTAGTATACTGACTTCAGCAACAACAAGCAAGCATAGAAGCCACAAAGAGAGGAGCTAATCATGGATATACCTGAGGAAGCATTATCAGAAACCCACTTACGAACACGACTGAACGAGTTCGCTCTTGAGGCTGTATCTCTGCTAAACATACTCTGAACCCAACTCCTTCCAGAAGCTTCTGCAGGTTGCTGGGTTTCATCAGAGGCATCTGCTTTTGGACGTGGGGATGGTAACCCAGCAGATATGGACTGCTGCTTAAATGAAGAAGCGCCCCAGTAGCCGACACGAAGTTGCTGAACATGCGACAAGAACCCTCTGAGTTTAATCTGAAGCAAAGTTCAAGATGCAACAAAAAAATATTAGGCCTCAGATGGTAATTCTCAAAAGCCCAATCGAAAAGCTTGACAACACAATTTACCAGTAATTTGTATCCAAGTTTTTGCTTCTCTGCTATTGTCTCTATCATATTCCAAGCCTCTGTATCAGGAAGTCCCAAGCCAGCCTGCACAAGAGCATTAGAAAAGGTGAAGACACAGTAAACAAGAGAACTGTAACCGTCACATAGGACAAGAAGGTAAATATTAAGTCAACTCTGAAAATAAGAAATTCACCATATGTGATGCCACTATGATTAGTCTGGCTGTGACCAAAGTAGCATAGTTCACTGATCTGAGAGAGTACAATAAAAAGGTCAGTAATTTCAATGACGATCCAATAAATTGGCATTACACTGTAAGACACAATGAGATTATATATGGGTAACAGAGAATATTTCAAGTACGTCGGACTACAGTTGATAAGTTGATGAAGCCTCGTTAAGGGGAAAATTGGAAAAAAGACACGTATGGCATGGGAGTTACTAAAAACCTATGAGCCTTACGGACATTTGAAGACTAAAGATCTAAAACATATACAAAGTAAATTCCTAAATATAAACTTCTATTTATCTCCAAAATATTAATAGAACGAATGAGATTTAGGGCGAAAAATCACATGATCAAGTACGTTATAGAACGACTTCTACTTCCAGGACAAAAACCATAAGTTTTTAAATTTACAGTTGGCTTCCTCGGCTCATTTTTTTTTAATATAGATCTCAGTGTGCAAGTGATCAGGAGCATTTACACGAACAAACAATTGATATTATCAAATGAATACAAGATCTTAAGAAGACTCACTCATTTGCAGGCTGCTCCATGAGATACTCGAAGTAACCTTCCCAGAATCTGTCAGAAGAACTCCCAGTATGTCAATAAATCTATTTTCTGAGCAGCACAAAAAAACTCATAGAGACCGCAGCTTGTTGGATTGCATACCTCAATTCCTCCCAGATGGGTATGGAGATGAGATGACGCTGAACATAGTCTGAGACATTATTGGCATCCTTCTTGAACATTTCTGCAGAAACTTCAAGTGCGTACTGAACTGTCGATAAATCGTTTCTTGAAGCAGCACGGTTGACAGCCATTTTGAGCTGATTTTGACAATGAAAAGTAATTGTTGAAGAATATAATTCTCAGTGTTTAAATATATGTTAAATTCCAAAAAACAATCATGCATGGTGTTACCCGAAGATAAATAAAAACCAGTACATAAAACCTGAGCAACGCTAAAATATGCACACGTAAAGTGCAAGCAATTCAAAAACAAGGTACACGGGTAAGAAAACCTACCAATTCTTTGACCGCAATGAACTGCTCCTCAGTCAAGCCACCATGCCAGCCCTGAGAGAAATAAACCCACTATATCAGCTCAGCCAAAGTGGCTCAGTTAATATGGCGTACAGTTGCTGCTAGGCTTACCGACTTCAAATGCTCTCTTATACACTCGATAAAGCCACTCCCACCAATCCCCTCAGCATCAGATTCGATGAGAGCTGCATGAGCAAAGTATGTGTTCAATTTTCAATATAGATAATAACAGCTCTTTGGTTTTCACAGCAGAGACAGAAATAACATAACCACAATGGCCACTATTTGGGTAGTATCTGGCTAATTAAGCATAACAGTATGATTCATTCCTTGATTTACCATTTCTTGCACTGGAGATTTTATGTAAATTTATTCACATTCACATCGGAATGGACTTACCCAATATCGTGCCGTATTCAAATGAAGAAAGGGGATCTTCTGTTGAACCAAGTTTCAGAAGACGGAGCCATAATCCCTGGAAACCACAATAACTCGATGTAATCAGAGGGTGGTACTGTAGGGTTCTTACCCTCACAAAATTCTCAATAGACGAAATCATTCTGAAGGATATGTCAACTGATTTCGTTCGATTCAGATACTTGCATACTGGAATCTTTTAATATACCTGCAACTTCACTTTTATATCCAAGACCATTCGTTCTCTCTCTGCCTGCAAATCATTGTTACAATATCATTAAAAAGAGAAGAAGTATCGGCATGACATCTAGGTTAGACTTTTTTTTTTCATTTTCGATAGAGTTATCAAACTTCTGCTACACAAGAAAAAGATGAAGGCCAAAACGAGTATGCATAACTTGACATAGCATCCTATAAATCTCGTACCACAATTAGAGAAAACAATTTTAATTTGATATTTTAATTGTATTGTGTAATGATTGACGAATGATGAGTTTAGTTTGATTTACTATCCCTGCATGCAAGAACCATGAGCAACAAGATTACATGCAACACTTACAGCCCTCTCCTTTGAACTAAAACTGTCTTCTTTGGTGTTCTTCCCTGGCGGTGAGCTGCAATTGGAAGATATAGAAAATAAGAAAGGGAATCAGATCGCTGTTCCAGGCAAACCAGGATATACCTTGGAGAATGCCTTCCATTGGATTCAAGAGCCCCGCTTGCTGCTGCGAGGATTTGCTTACGCTTTTCTTCTTGTTCCTCTGACCTAACATTCGCAGGAAACCTGTCATAGGTATACCTGGTTGCTGGCAAAAAGAATAGAGATCGATCAGAACATGATCCCAAAGTCGGTACGCGGACAATAATTCCCCAAAGAAATAGAACAGACTGAAAGATTCTTAATAATTTTTCTACTGCTATGCATACTACACCAACTTGCAAATTTTTGCCTCTGTCCAACTACTGGTGGCTAGCATAAAACCCATAAGATTATGAAGAATGGTAAACTATCAATCATATTTCTTTTTCATTCTCGGTAGTTTCTTATAAATGAACAACCTCAATTTCATACCATTCAGCTTCTGCGATCTACCAAACAAAAGATAAAAATGTACCTGATTCTTCGACTTCTGGCTCAGCTATTGTGATTATCTCAGGCTCCATAGAAGATTTAGGCAGAATTGACATTGCATCTTGACCCCTTCCAACTGCATCTTGTAACTTCTCGAGAAGATTAGTACTGTTCTCATCAGAGTCTAGACGCCTTTCAAGGTAATCGAGGAATGCAAAAGAGCCCAGGAATTGAACCAACTGAAAACAATTGAAGAGTACCAATAAAAACAGTAATTAGTCAAATGTCGAAGTAAATTGAAAAGACAGTTTACCATTCAGGTTGGATCAATAGAGAGCAAACAGGTTGAGTTATCAAATGCAGTAACTGTAAGAATATGCTTTGACCATACATGAAACAGTTAGCTTACGGCTTACCATAGGCTCCGGTGGCTGATTGGTGGATCGAGACCGTCTCTTCAGAAACGCATCAGTGCTAAAAACTTTGTTTTCCTAACAAAAGAATCCGTATAAGCAAGGAAAGTTGTGCAGAAAGGGGTGAATAAATAATATAAGTAGAGAGAAAACCACACATACTATGAAATTGCGATAGCCACCCAAGATAGATGCAAAAAACTTTAAGAATATAACCCTGCGAGAGGAAATGGATTTTGTATCACAAGCAGATAACATGAGTACCAAAAAGCTCCCAAGGAAAAGGAATGGTAACACAATGTAGGCAAACATATGACAAAAATTCCTAGAGTCACCTGAGTTGAAGGTCATGATCCTCTCCCCAAGGTTTGCTAAGGCTTTTAGAGCACTGCTCAACAGAATTACCAAAGCCCTTCAAGTGATCGATCCCCACAACATTAGGGTGCAGTAGTTTCAAGATGTCGTTTCGCAAAGAGCTGAACTCGGGCTCTGGTATCGGAGGTATCTCCTCAGAAGTAGTGATTTGATTAAATTCAAGATCCACCACTACAACCTAAAAATGGGAATGTTGTGAGACCGATATTAGATTGTCTAAATTTGAAGAGGATAAGTATGACGTAGAATTAGACTCACGCCATCCATAGCAAGATTGGAAGTATCGACATCAGAGTGGAGACCCATCATATAAGGTGTTGGTGCATCAATGTAGTCTACTCCACTAAAAAATAGTAATGGAATGTAGACTTGCTTCAGAAACATACAACAAAACAAAGAACAAAGATTAGAAGATATGTTTTCGTTAGTAGAAATGCAAATAGCTTGCTTGTTCCCATCTTATATAAATAATCAAGATATCCAATTTTCATTCACAACGTAATTTTTGGGTTAGCAAGCTTACAAATGAATTCATGTTTGTTTTAAGGGACTAACTGAGATCTCATCAGTGTTATAAGACATACCTGCCATCGGAAAGGATAAATCAAATGACATATGGCTTCCGACACCAGAGTCAAGAGCGAATACCTGTTGAGATATACAGTAAAGCAAAATAAGTGTGATGCTTAAACAGAGATAATAAGCAATAGTAACCGTTTCAAAACAAAAGCAAAAATGTTAACGCAACATATTTCTCTAAGTAAAGAAAGTTACTTGTTAGATCGAAGCAAAATCCTCCTTTCAACTAGTACAGATGTAAACAGCTTAATCAAGTTGTCGACATCCAAGCACTGTACAAGAGGTTGGAGAGATATCTGCATTCAGTAAAACCATGCCAAACATTACATAACTTAATTGGAAAAACATGAAAGAAATCAGGGAAATTACGCTCCTTGTAGCTGACAAGTAATAGGAAATATCCAAAGCTGACTACAAAGTGGCTAAAGCAAAAGTATTCAAAACAGATTAAGGAGACACGTCATACATCTGCCTGAGGAAGACTGTCCTCTGGAGGTGCTTCCGCCGAGAGTAGGCAATTCTCGACAGCAAACAAGACTCTGTCTTTTCCGGGAGTTGGCAATGGCACATTGGATACCATATATGCGATAATGTCCCACAATGGTTTACTGATATGGTCGAAAGGCACTAATATCAGACTCAAACAGAGGAGTAGGGTTCGTTTTTATAGTTTTGTAGAGAGGACAATATCAATACAAAATAAGTTTGTAAGCACAGTGTTTACCAGCTTCCTTCTGTGGAGAAGCAAAGAACAAAAATCTCTTCGAGAGAATCCCGAAGAGCACGAAAATTGGGGGCGTGAGACACAATACAGATACACTTGTCTGCGTATGTATTCGGTGGTAAGCGATAAGCTTCAGTAATATCCTCACAGACTCGATCCCGAAATGCAATGCAACTGACAAATATTTTTGATCCATCACCCTCTGTGGAGATAACGATAAAGATACTCAGAAAGAGATAACCCACCACAGTTGAAAAAAGCGTATACAACGCAAACCAACTTAAATCCAACATGGCAAGCCAAATGATTGCAAGACGACTTCTCCGCTAAAATAATCACAGCCACATTGCAAAAGCAAATGAAACTCCAATCACATACCCGTCAAGACTATCGGATAGCTCCGTGGGAAACTCGTATTGTCACTGGAAACAAACCCAGAAGAATGGAATCCTACCCCAGCAGGAAGAACACACTACCAAAAGAAAAGAAGCTGAATCATGAGAATCTGCCTGAGTCTATAAACTCGCATAGACTTCAACTAAACAAGTACGTTTCATCCTCAAAAACATATGATTCATTTACAATCTGGACCAAAACCAATCGTTTACCCATCAAAAACACTTGTTTAGAAATAGAAATGCTCATCTTTTGTCTTGGTATAATTAAATATCAACCTAATAGGAAGTAACTAGAAAACATTTATCCAATTCGAGCCAAATTCAAAGATTCAAGTAACAAAATTAAGCATCTCTCCAGTTACTAAATGCTCGTTTCATCCTAATCAGAACAAAATACACAAGAAATCCTAGCAACTAGACGAAGCTGATCCGGTTCATAAGTATTAACATTTCATCGCCGTTAAACAACAAAAAACCAACCTAAAACCCAATAAAAAATCGGAAATCTCGACGAAACATTCAAAAAGGTTTCTCCAAACTTACAGTGGGAAGCTGAGGAGGAGGTGGAGGATAGAGAGAGTGATCAGAAGGAGGGAACTGGTCTAGAAGCGAAGGCAAGTAATACGTCTCCAATCCATGGAATCCAAGATCTCCGTCCAGGGTTCGCATCTCCGGACCCAGTCCGCAGACGACGAAGTACTCGAAGATCCGGCCCATTGTCTTCCACGAGATCTAAACTGGGTTCTAGAGCATGATCCGAGATTTTCAATGGAGATCAATTTTCGCGGATTTCGTCTAAGAGAAAATCTATGATGATGAAATTGGTGAATGCTGGAAAAGTAGTTGCTTCAATTCGTAAATCGTATGGAGAAAATAATAATAAAAATGGCCGTTCGCAATTTGTTTCCCATTTCACACAAATTATACAACTAATTATTTTATTTATAGTTGAAAATTTGCGAAATAACAAAAACAGAATTTCAAATCTTTTTAAAAAAAGCAAAAGCTGTTATTTATTTATTTAGATGTAGTGATATGCCGACAAAAAAAAAGATGTAGTGATTTGATTGTATAAAGAGTGTACAGTATATCTAACATGTTTCAATTCATTTGATCTTATTTTGCTAAAAACTAAAAAGATACAATTCACATAAAATTATACAGAAAATCACTGTAATTTTACTGCAAATCTTTTTGTTTTTTCCACCCACCCAATTTTAAAAGATTTTTTAAAATACACAATATCTGTTTCTTCCTCCCCATTATATCAAAAGAAAATCTATATGGTTTAAGGAAATTTATATTTGTTTTTATTTAATTGAATATATATATTTTTTATTTTAATAAAATAAGGTTTTTTAAGATTTCTCAATTTTCAAATGTTTAGACAAAATAGACCTCTCCTTCCTCGCAGCTGCACATTGGCTTGTGTACAAAGCCTCTTGACTCTTTGACCACTTCCCCTACAATGCGATTTCTCCACTTGTGATTTACATTCTCTATCCCGATCGAAAAATTCGCCTGATTTCGATCGGAGAATCGCAGAATGGAGCCGGATCTTCAGAACCAACAGCGAGTTCATAGTGTAGTGATAATCACTCTCCCACCATCTGATGATCCTTCACAAGGCAAAACAATCTCTGCTTTCACCCTCACTGACCACGATTACCCACCCGAAATCCACCCCGAGGACGAGCGAAACCCGCGTTTTCAACCCGACCCGCTTCACCGAAACCCGGATTCCGGACTCTGGTTCTCCGATCTCTCAATGAGTTCGCCGAGACTAGTGCTGGGTCTTCTCGGAATCTCGCTTCTCGCGATTGCTTTCTACGGCTCTGTTTTCCCCGATACTGTTCAGATGTTTAGGGTTTCTGACGAGAGGGACCGTGATGAGAATAATCGCCGTGAAACGACGTCGTTTGTTTTCCCTGTGTACCATAAATTGAGAGCTCGAGAGATCCCTGAGCGGAACTTAGCGGAAGTTTTGGATGTAGCAGAGAATGGAATCTTTGTGGAATCAATTGATCAAGAGCTGGTCAACCCTGTAAAAGTCAACGATGCTTTCTCTGCAAGAGCTGGTTCTTTTGACTCCTCCGCTACGATTTTTCCAGTCGGTGGAAATGTGTATCCAGATGGGTATGTCATTGCATTTTACAAATCTTGATATTTGAATGTTGTTTGTTCCTTAAAGCACAAGAAAACAAAGCTTTGTCCTTTGTTGCAGGCTCTACTTCACACGGGTTTTTGTTGGAAACCCTGAAAAAGACGGACACTACTTTCATCTTGATATCGATACTGGAAGTGACTTGACTTGGATACAATGTGATGCTCCTTGCACTAGTTGCGCTAAGGTAAATGATCCAGTTTTTTTGAGATTTTAGGAGATTTCTCTGTGAAACTGTTGATGAACATTCTGGATTTTGGTGGGATTTAGGGAGCAAATCAACTATACAAGCCAAGAAAAGATAAGTTAGTGGGATCTGCCGAACACTTATGCGTAGAAGTCCAAAAGAATCAAGTGGCAGAGCATTGTGAGAGTTGTCAACAATGTGACTACGAGATTGAATACGCTGATCTTAGCTCTTCCCTCGGAGTTCTCACCAAAGATGAGTTTCATCTCAAACTCCACAACGGATCACTTGCCGAGTTGGATATAGTTTTCGAGTAAACAGAGCTCTTTAACATTTTCAGGTTTTGTCTAAGTGTTTTCTTGTTGTGACTTATGCTTTCGTGAATGGAACTTTTAAGGTGCGGATATGATCAGCAAGGCCTACTGTTGAACACTCTGCTAAAGACAGACGGGATCCTCGGTCTAAGCAGAGCTAAAATCAGCTTACCTTCTCAACTTGCAAGCCGAGGTGTCATCAGCAATGTGGTTGGCCATTGTCTTGCCTCTGATCTAAACGGTGAAGGGTATATCTTCATGGGCTCTGATTTGGTTCCATTACATGGAATGACATGGGTTCCTATGCTCCACCATTCTCACTTGTAAGTGCACATGGTGATCGAAAACTTCAAATCTTGGTAGATTCTTGGTGTATATTCCCAAAAGTTTCAATCTTTGTTCACTTACATAGTCAAACCAAATTTTATTTCAGGGAAGTTTATCAGATACAAGTTACAAAGATGAGCTACGGGAATGGTATTAGCTTAGATGGCGAAAATGGTAGAGTAGCGAAAGTCTTGTTTGATACAGGAAGCTCCTATACATACTTCCCTAACAAGGCTTACTCTCAATTAGTCACATCAGTAAGTAATCTCATCCGGAAACTACTCAGCATTTTTCTTAGATGAAACTTTTCTTCTGTTCAATGATGTTGTATGATCTTTGTGTATGCAAAGCTTCAAGAAGTTGCTGGGTTAGAATTAAAACGCGACGAATCAGACAAGACACTGCCTATCTGTTGGCAAGCTAACTTCCTGATTAGGTTACTTTCAGGAACACATGAGTTTTTCGAGAAACCGATTTGAATCAAAGATGAAATTTTGAAAAGTTAATAATGTGTTTTGGTTTCGATATATGCAGTTCCTTATCGGATGTTAAGCGGTTCTTTAGACCAATAACCATCCAAATAGGGAGCAAATGGTGGATCATATCAAGAAAGCTTTTGATTCAGCCCGAGGATTACTTGATCATCAGCGTAAGCACTATAAAAGCTCTCACCATTGCCATTTTGCTTCGATTTATGATTTGCCTTAAATTTATTTGAGCTTCTTTACATGATTGATGATGCAGAACAAAGGAAATGTATGTCTAGGGATATTAGATGGAAGCAGTGTTCATGATGGTTCCATCATTATTCTTGGAGGTAAAGAAAAAAACACACATTTATTTGTAAACCCACATTTTCTTGTCTGAATCACAATAACTAAACATGCAACTTCTCATTCTTGTAGACATATCGATGCGTGAACACCTGATCGTGTACGACAATGTGAAACGGAGAATCGGATTGATGAAATCAGATTGCGTTCGGCCTCGTGAATCTGATCACAGTTTATCTTTCTTTCAAGGGTGAAGATTCACAGTTATTGTGTTTTGTATAAACTCGACACTTGCGCACAGGGTGTTTAATATTAGTGTGTAATTAGGTGTAAATCACAACATACTCTAGTATAAAAAGAAAAGAAAGAGATTAATCAACTTTTAATCAACTTGTGAAAAGAAAAGATAAGAAAAAGATTAGTCAACATATCAACATATCAAAATCCTGTACGATTAATGATTAATGGGTTATTGGGCTGTATAATCATTTTCATAAGAAACATTTGTTAACGTAGCATCAACACCTGTAAATATGAACACCAATCATATTAGTGATTCAAATTTGTATGCTACTATATGTAGGGGGTGTATTCAAAATAGAATTTATAGTGATTTGTATTAAATCACAAACTATCTGTTATTAAAACATAAATTTTAAAAAGTTGTTTAAAATTCAGTGTTATTGAACTAGTGATTTGAAAGTGTAACTTCAAATTCACTGTTATTAGAAATAATTTAAGCAGTGGAGTTTAAGAAACTTGGAATGATTTTAAGATGTTTTGATGGAATTTCCTAGTTAAAAATATAAGAATCCAAATCCCATCGTTTTAGGTAGAATTTGATAGAATTTTAATATCAAATCATAACAATTTCCATAATTCAACCAAATCATCTAAAAACTCATTTAAACTAAAATCCTTCCAAATCATTTTAAATGTTAAGTTGAATACACCCTCCGTAAAGTATGACTTCACTATGCAAATTATATAGTATAGAATACTATGCCCAACTTTGACATATAATATAATTTGAATTTTTTAAAATATATCTTAAAATAAATTAAAATGTATGTATGATGTTTAAATAACAAATAGTAATTTTATTCTATAAAGAATGCAATTTCATTATATTATATAAACTGCTATCTTAAATAAAATAACACTTTCTTACTTTAAATAATGCTTTTAAGTTTATACTACCATGTTTATACAATATAGTTTGATTTTCTAAAAATATCACCTTTTTAATTCTAAATAGTTATATACTATTTAGTATCATAATATAGTATATTATTTTATCATATATGTCTATATAAAACAATTTGTTTTATTAATTTAACAACATTATTCACAAGTTTAAGATTTAAGTATTTGTCTTGCTAAATTCAAATCATGCTATTATACTAATGCAAAATTTGATCAAATATTTGTATGAAAATAAGATAAGAAATAAAATCATTTGGGGTAATGATATACAACAATGATAAAATAGTATATAATTTTCCACTCTCTCTTTCAAACACACAAATCAGCCAATAAGAATATTTTTATCCAAATAATTAAAAATTTAGGATTTTTGGTTAGTTTCTTTAATTTAAATTTCTTATGGCTATAAGATTAATTCTAAATCTCAATATGATTACTATGCAAATTGACCTATGATTAATTTTATACTAATCAAAAAGTGTTTTTTTAGTCTACTGTCTATAGAAAGATAAGTTTGAAAAGAAAAGTTATTTTGTTTATTGTCATCTTCTACAGTGAGAAATAAAATAACTCTCCAATTTTCTTAGGTAACCAATATGTAACAATTTTGAAAAGAGTACTAATTGAGAATCTGAAATTAATCTACGTCAAATCCTAAAAGTTCCGAAAAAGTCAAATCCAATATAAGATGTGATGTGATGATCAATTCCACATTGCATTCATTCAATTGAATTCAAAATTTTAAAGATAAAAGATGGATTCTACAAAACATTGTATAATAAACTAAATTTTACACACTAATTTTTAGAAAATTTAACTTCCTATCTCTTTCTCTTGCAACAAATGGATTTAGTTGAATTAATTTGGATGGTCGCTTCGTAATATTTAGGTAATTCTAGTTGGACTTATGGACAAATGTATAAGATATGTAAACATATGTAGCTAAATATAATTTAGAAAGATATAAATTCAATCTTACATGAAAAAAAACATTAAAAATTGGCAAATTCAACATAAAAACTTGGCAAACTTGACAAAAAGAAATTGTTGTTAACAGTGCAAAGCTTGTTCAAGAAATGTCATATTAAAAGCATTGCATGGCATTCGTTGAAATGGTTTTTGTTGAAATTAACATTCAAAAGGATTAACAGTGCAGAAACTTTGATGTAACCATTGTTATGGGCATCTACTACATGATAAGATTTACAATAATGATTATTCTTCCATCCATCCTAAAACCACACAAGTTCAATAATGATTAATATTTCATCCATGTTAAAACCACCACAAATTCATGGAAACTAGTAAGTACAAAGCTACTACTTGTGGGTCTATGGAAATTTTTTTACTATATAACTGTAACATAAATTAAAAGAAAGATTTGTTAAAAAATATCTAGGTTTACTTGTGTTAGAGGGCCATAGTAAATGTTCTGCAAAAACACACAAATAAATAAGTTTATGATAGGATGCAACTATGTAGCAGAGTTAAGAGAAACCTCTAAGTCTCTAAGAGGGTTTGTTGTGAAAAATAGAATGACCAAAACGTTTTTTTAAAGAGTGTTGCAAAAAAAGTAGCTTTAGATTTTTTTAAATGGACATAAACTCTGGTATAATTTTAGCTTAATTTTAATAAGTTTTATTATTATTATTGAAAATGAATTTTTTTGGAAAGTTTATTTGTAAATAGAATAAGTTTTTGATTCTGTTTATAAATATTTAAATATTTACATTTGTAAAAATAAGATAATTCGTTATTTACATTTGTATATTCACACCTTGTCCATACCACTGTGATTCTCTATCTCTTTCTTTTTCTCTTGTTGCCCTTGCTCTTGCTCTTCTTCTTGCCTCTATTTTCATTTTCATTACCAGAGTTTTGATTTGTCAAATCAAAGGAAGCAAGCATTGGACACATAAATTCAAAGATTAAGGGAGTAACTTTTTGAGAAAAACCGGATCATAATCTGCAGGTTGTGGAACCTCCTCGCCATCTCTAAGTGATAGGTAAGGCTTCAAAATCCCAAGTAGTGCAGAGATGCTTTCGGCAGCAGTGTGAAGGCCTAACACCATAGTGGTTGTACAGACATAGAGGTAGCCTTGGTTATGCTCTTCTACTCCACTGCTCTACTTACACTTGAACACTCATTTTTCTTGTAGGATACGCAAGCCCAGCACCATTAACCTATGAAGATTAGTAAACTTAGATGCACTGGTTGTAGATCCACAATAGACTTTGTCTTGACATCAAATGAAGATAAAAAAACAATTTCAAAAAAAGAGAAACTGTTAAAAAGAAAAATGAAAAACTAGTAAGTGTTACTCACACCCATAGTAATAGTCACCGAGTACGCGGGCTCAAACACAGCAACCGTTGCACCTACATGTTGGATCTGAAGTCAGAGTTATGATGTCATTGATAGCATCGCCTACACAATGCACACCTTTGATTTTGATCTTGTTCCCAGTCTTGTTGGGTATGTTAGTTATGCAATTAAACGTCTCATCCCCTTGTGGTTGTTTTCCAACTCTGTGACGTATGATAGAATGGCAGTGATGCTCGTCATCCTAAAGCGCACAACTTGCTCCATCTTCTGGAGAAGCAAATCAACAGATTTCTTTGACACTAGGCTTCTGATAAGGAAAAACCGACCCTTCTATTGCATGTGCTATGCTGGCGAGATCTGTGTCAACATATGCACAACAAAGCTCTGCAAAGTTAGAAACTAGATTTGTAATTAATGGAAAATCACCAAATTTGGATTATGACACGTTAACAATACTGATAAAAACTTAGCAAAAGTACCATAAAAACTTAGCAAACTTGACAATAACAAATTGTTGTCTATACAAAATTTGTTCAAAATTATTGTATCAATGATTTTATAAACATTGCATGGCATTCTTTGAAATGGCTTTTGTTGAAATTAACATTCAAAAAGCATTAGCAATGTATAAACTTTGATGTAACCATTGTTATGGGCATCCAAGAGGATTTAACTCTTCAAGCACTCTCACTAGCTCGCAAGATCAACACAAACATATGCCCAACAAAAATCTGCATATATAAAAATCATTAGATGATAATGATACAAAACATTTGTTAACCTAAGCGAGTTGAACAAAAAAAAAGTGTCTTTGGTGGTCAGACTGGTGTCGAACCCGTCCTACTATTTATCGGTCCATCGTAGTCTATCCGGACAAGTGCATAAAAATTGTTTATTTTCAAAACAAAGACTGATAGTAAGCAACAATTCTTAATTTAGGGGAAAGCAAAATTTAGTTGATTGTCGTCTCCCTAAAGCTCCAAGAACACTGCGAGAGTTTAGGAGAAAGCAAATTTTACGTCATAAATTTCTTTGTGAAATTAGTGATGAACGATCTGAAGTTTGGTGGGATTTAGGGAGAAAATCAACTATACAAAAAAGATAAGCTGGTGGGATCTGCCGAACACTTATGCGTAGAAGTCCAAAAGAATCAAATGACAGAACATTGTGAGAGTTAGCTCTTCCCTTCGAGTTCACACCAAAGATGAGTTTCATGTCAAACTCTACAAAGAATCACTTGACGAGTTGGATATAGATTTCGGGTAAATAGAGCTCTTTAATTAACAATAAAACTAATAATAAGAAAATGTTTAGTCTACCAAAAAAATTTAGATCCACAAAGATATGTTCAAAATCTCACGTTTCTTTAATTTTCCTATAAATTTGACATGTTTAGTGTTAGGACTTAGGAGTGGATACAAAATAAAAATGAAATTTGGGCATTAACATGCCGCTTGCTTTTTTTTTGGCGAGAGCAAAGGTAAGAGATATGTGAGTGGCGGTAATGGGTAAAACCAAGAGTGATTATATGGTTTATCCGAGTCGTTATTCACTGAGGCTAGAGGCGGCTCGTAATAAGTCTGCCTTAGAGATTAACCGGAAAAGCAAAGCGCCAACGGGAGGCTAGCTGTTGCTGAGTCTGAGCAGGAGTATTGAAGCCAAGTGTGGGAATCTGATTTATTTTCTTGATTTTTCATCTTCTTGATTCTTCTGAATTACACACTCATTGTACTTTCTTGATTCTTGTCCTAAACCATCTTCTGGCCACTTTCTTGATTTTGAGCATCTTGATTTTTGTCCTAAACCCTACTTTCTTGATTTTGAGCATCTTCATTCTTGTCCTATATAAACCCTACTTTCTTGATTTTGATCATCTTGATTCTTGTCGTAAACCCTACTTTCTTGATTTTGATCATCTTGATTCTTATCTAATTGCTATTGCTAATGTGCCTTAGGGGTTCGATGTCGATAATTTGGTGGGACCTTATCCCCGTGGAATGAGAGTTTTCAAGTGTAAACCCAATGATCATCCCGTTTTAGTCACCCTCTATGCTAAGATGGGCCTTCATCGTTACAACATGCCTCAGGTGATTAAAGCTAGTCTCTTCTTGATCTATGCGTACGTTAATTATTTATTTTATTTATTTTCCAGTCCCATGTTCAATTTGGTTTTTCTGTAAGTATTCATGTCTCATGGGACCAACTCGCAGCTTCATCATATAAAGAAATACAGTAGGGAAGGTGCGATCTTCATTTTCTCGTATAGTCGCATTATAGAACATTGGTTGAACGGAATCCAGCTACAGGTTCTGAGCGTGAAGAATCTGATATGTAGCAAGACAAGATCCATTTGAAATTTGTGGATCAAATAACATAAAGGACTACTAAATGTCTCTTCTTTTCGAGATATATATCATATGACTAAATTAAGAGTTAATCATGTGAAATCGCATTCTTGTAGAGTGTAAGTAATCAGTCGTTGTATCTGTTCATTTTATATCCTATCTCTTGTGGCTGTTATTAAAGGTCTTTTTTTTTACCTTCCGGTAACACCTTAATTTGAGTCATATATTGAAATTGAACGGTTAGACGGTGAAACAAAATAAAATACCTCATTTGTTTATTTTCTATAATTACTAACGTTTAGTCCTTAATTAATAGTTACACAATGAAAGCTGCTGAGACTCGCTAGGGTTAGCATTTGAAGGAACGAAATAAATCTACATCCAATCTCTGCGTTAAAGGTGCATACGGAGAGACCGACCATTACACTCTTGCAAACAAAATAGACTTGCAAAGCCAAATGGTTAAAACATGCACACGCGATAGCTTGTTACCCAAGGCAAACCCCGTAGGGATTTATCCTCTAAGCCACGAGATAGATCTCCATCACATCGCAACGTTGTGAAGGTGTAACGTAACGAGAAGCTAAATAGGCGAGCCGCCACAAAAGGGGGGACTCTGGCTGAGTGAAGGAAGTTTGATCCCTAATCTCTTAACCTTCTTTTTTTTTTTTTTTTTTTTTTGTTTCTTTCCCCTTTTTCTTACATGGATTCTGGTTGAGAACTTTAAGTAACAAAATCGAAGTTTTGATCGGCACACCGACTTTAAGTGACGATAGTCAAATTAAATAGTACTACAAGCCAACAGCTTTTTACTGTGTCCGATATGCAAAACGGGTTAACTTAAACGTTCTCGAGTCCTTACCAACGCAAGATTTTCCCTCTAAGCCACGAGGAATCTCCGTCACATCGTCGAAATTTGACATTGTATGAAAACGTAGTGAGTGATGATAAGAGTGATCCATTTGCAAATTAAAGTAGAGAATATAATTGACAATCATAATTAAAGTAATTTTGTGGTGACTTTATCTTTCAGTTTTATATATAGAATATATATATGGTTGGTTTTTTTGTCTGTGTGTAAGCTCATTTCCTATCTTCTCCTCAAGCTCTGTCTCTCACGAGGTTTATCTTGTGTATTGTTCTTCAATCCTCTTACTTGCTGGGCAAGAAATCTCATTCCAAGTTTCTTAATCTCGAGAAATCGAATGGTCTAAACTTTTGTCTCTTTAGTCACTTGCCCATGTCAACTCACTTCCTTCATTTACATATAAGTATATTTACATAACAAAAATATATGTGACGACGTGGCTTCTATAAATTGTCAAGAAAGCAAGTTCGAGGCAAAATTCAAAGCTACCTTAGAAACAGAGGCCGAGAAGTTCCAGAAGCTTCTGAAAACGTTCGGAACAAATATTTGAAGAGTAGTAAGAGTCAAGGTATGGAGTGATTTGTGGTACCCTTTATCTTTCAGTTTTATATTTATTTATGGTTTGTTTCTGTTTGTTCAGTTCTTAAGCTCTTTCCGACAAATGTCCTATTTTAATATATAATCGATTGATTTTGGGCCCGGGCCAACTAAGGCTATGTAAGTGAATGCACATACTCGCGCGAACGAAGCTGAATCGACTAATAGAGAATCAGCCGGTTGGTTTTGCCGAGCAGAGCAAAGAAATTCAGTGTGTGGGGGACAATGGGGAAGGTGGATGTGTCGAGACGTATTCCATGGAGGCTAGAGAAGAAGAGGAAGGCGAGGCTAGAGAAGAAGATGAAGAAGGAGAATAAGAGGAAGAAGCAGGCTCTTGCTGAGTGTGCGTTCAGAGAGAAGAGGAAGAAGGAGAAGGAGGAGAGGAAGAAGAAGGAACATATGAGGCAGCATCTTGATAAGTTAGAGGTTGAGTATTGGGGTCGAGTGTGGAAGTCCGATGTAAGTCTCTCATTTTCTAGGTTTTTAATTAGGAACAAAACTAAACCCGTCAAAACCTGATTTTCTGATTGCTTATTGCTAATTGTGTGTCTTAGGGTTTCGATGATAGCTTGCGTTTACCTATCTTCGTTTCGAGATTAATGCGAGTTTACAAGTGTGAGAAACCGAATGATTGTCCCGTTATTGTGCGCCTTTATGCTAAGATGGGCCTTCATCAATACAATATGCTGCAGGTAAAAACATTCTTCTTCTCTTCAAGTGAACTGCTCCTAGTCTTTTTTTTTAATGTTATCTTGTATTCAAATTGTTTTTGGTTGCTCTGTGTCAGGGAACCAACTTTCAGCTTCGCCGCGTAGAGAAATACAATAGGGAAAGTACATTATACGGTAGGCCTTGCTCGTATTATGTAACTTCGGTCGCAGAGGATCCTGCTACAGGTTCCCTTGTACCTTTTCAGACTAGTAGTCACGAAAGAAGTATTAACGTATTGAATATCGGGTTTTATATTGCTAGACCTCAAGATACAGGTTAGATTTGGATAACAGTCATCATCATGAGTTTTCTTGAAAGGTGTTTTTTTGTAGATGCTTGCTGATTATTGAATGGTGTGTTCGGCTTATCTATTTAGGGGAAAAGGGTACGATTTGTCATGATAGAACTGCACCTGGATACTTTAATAGTAGCGCGCCTGAATGGCCATCAGAGACTGATAAAAACATTTGTACTTGGTAAGAACTTTTTTAGAAAGTTCTATACATTATATTTACCTTGGTAAGTTGGGATGCTTTGAGCGACAAGTAGTGCTGCATGTTTGCTTTGCAGGTGCAGGAACCAGAGCTGAAAGAAAATGAATGGATTCGCCTATATTTGGAAGTTGGATTCCTCACAACCAATCGTCGGACTCCGGCTGTAGGTTTTATTTCATTTTTGTATTAGCACTTTAGCAGTGACATATATCATGCGTGCGTGGGATTCGTTTTCATATAAAGTTTGCTCTCTATATGTCGGATGTTGCAGCCTGAGCTGTCGGATTTGAAGATTGTGGAGGTGATGGTAGAAACTAAGGAAAACGCGCAGCTGTCGAATGAGAGACTCAAGGGGTTTAAAGATGCAACTTTCTTCATTAAATTCGATCAGGACTTGGGAGAGGGTCAGGTTCGTAACCGCCGAGCTGTCATTAGAAGAACTGTGGATTTGAGATCGAAACGCATGAGTCTCGATGGCGATCTGAGTATCTGACAGACCTTCGCATGTTTGGAAAGCGAGACAGACCCTTACGCATGATGTGGCTTCTAATATAAGTAAGCAGTAAGACAAGATTCATCTGAAATTTGTTGATCAAATAACAGAATGGGTCTTTTGTTTTCGAGAGACAAATATAATAGTACTAAATTAGCAGAGCATTCTGAACGTTGTTTGAGGCATCAGGACTTTTTTGCTGTACATGCTGAATTAATATATTTTGTGTTGACTTATCTCTTTAGGGACCAAGGGTACGCTTTGGGATGATATAAAAGAACTTCAACTCCACGGTTTTGGCTGATATAAATCGATTGTACGTGGTAAACTGAAAAATGGAAGTGATCCAAAGAAATAAGTGGGATCGTGAGTGTTAAGTGAGAATAATATAAGATCACAGTATTTGATCGGCTTGTTTTTTGAAGCCACACACAAGCCAGATTATTATTTCAAATGCTTTGATCGATCCATTTTTAAACCAAACTAGAGTTTCGAATGCGCAGAAAAATGGGCGTGTCATATATGTGGAGGAGATATTTGCGGGCAATTGTTTCTGTTATACGGTCATACATTACCACCATTGGAATTCATAAAACTATAAATCGGAGTACTTGAATTAAAGATACAGGTTATTTGGATCTTCGTTTTCTCGTATTGTATAACTTTGGCTGCAAGGGATCCAGCTACCCGTTCCCTCATAACTTTTCAGACAAGTATTCAGGAAAGTCAATGGAATAAGTTGAATGTCAAGTGTTATGTTGCTAGAGTTAAAGATACAGGTTATCTGGATCGTTAGTTATAATAGCAGTCATGAGGACTTTTATTGTGTAGATTCTTTGCTGATTAATGTATATTTATCTATTTAGGGCCCAAGGGTACGCTTTGGGATGATATAACTGCACCTCGGTTCTACAATGTTAGCGTGCCTGAATGGCCCAAAGATGATGCTTTGGCTGATAAAAACCGAATTTATGTCGTAAGATTGAAAATATATATTCACTTGGTTATGTAAGTAAGATGCTTCAAGTGACCTGTAGTGTGCATGTTTGCTTTGCAGGTGCAGGAACCAGAGCTGAAAGAAAATGACTGGATTCGCCTATGTTTGGAACTCGGATTCGTCTCAACCAATCGTCGGATTGCCAATGTATGAAGCTTCTGATATCTAGCAAGACAAGATCCATCTGAAATTTGTGGATCGGTTCACATAAGGGGACTGGCTACTTTATGTGTCTTTTGTTTTCGAGAGAGAAATATAAAACTAAATTAAGAGCGGTCTTTTGTTTATACACCTATAACTCTTATTCTCTTAATACATAGATCTTCGTCTTCCATTGAATGTGCTAGGTGTTGCTAGGCTATAACCAAATCATTTCCGTCTGTAGTTGTTGGTCTAGTAATAAATTTCGACGCTAAATCAAAATTTTAAAACGTTGATCTTTAGTATTTAAACGTTAACCCAAAATAAGCCATCATTATTCATCTGCCTTCGTTACTTCAGATGTTTATGTCTATTGAAAATGACATCATTGTGGTTTATTGCATTTTTATTTTTAAATATAACACCAGATACTTCACAAAAGCTACAAGTGTTTTATACACCTATCAGTCTTCTTAACACATATATCTTCATCTTTCATTCAATCCAAGTGTTGTTAGTCTCTAATCAAATCATTTTGGTTTGTAGTGGCTGGTCCAGTAATAAGTCTCGACACTGGTTCAAAATTTAAAACGTTGTATCTTTAGCATTTAAACATTTTAATTAGTTGTTAGTCGACAAAATGTAACCGCTGAACGACGAAAACTAAACGAAAATAATGTGCGTTTCTTGTTCGGAATAATAAAACAAACAACAAAACATATCAGTAGCACTCAGAGTAGAACATGTGACATACAAACCTGTGATCAGTGGTGTTGGTTCTAGAAACTGATTCTCATTCTCTCTTCTTGGCCCATGAAGACTACGTCTTACTTGGCCTTGTCGAAATGACCACTCAGAAGCATTGTTGATCCAGAAATATTCAGGTACCCATGGTCATGTAAATCTTCTCCATGTGAATATTTACACTTAAAGATAAGTTCTCCTTCTTCAATCCAAGCTGCGACCACCACGACTCCATAGAACTCTTTGAGCTTAGATGTGGTATGTGTGGAGCCATAATATATTCACTTACGCATTTTGAGGGCCAAAGTATATTCCCTAACATTTAATTGTAACCAAAGTTAAATGGAAGATTTGTAAATAAAAGATATTCAGAGAATTATTATCAATGAGTTACCTAGAAAATCTAGATTCGATCATTGCTTTTAGGTCCACAATATACTCTCTCACATCAAATGAAAAAAGCAATTTAAAAAAAAAAGATAAACAGTTAAAAGAAAAGGAAAAACTGTATTAGTGTTAGTAGTGTAACTGATAAATTGATTTCAATAACGTGACAACCAAACAACAATATAGAACTAGAATTGAAGATGTAACCATCCTTATGCTCTGCTTTTCCATGTCTAGATTTACCATTGACAATTATATCTACACTTTTCATAGACATGAACTTTGTGCAACTCTTGGCCAATTTTGAAAAGTTGATCTAGGAATCATTTTCTAGAAATTTAAATTGCATATGAATTAATATAGCCAATTTGTTTTAAATATATCTTCACCATGGATATTAATCATGTAACTGAAATTTTCCTCGCAAAAACTTTGATTGATCAATTTTTTTAAACAATTGTTTGTTAACAATTTTTAAAATCTAATTAAATTATTATAATTACAAGTATTAAACCGAATATAGTCTTAAGAGATGTATTGGTCATAATTAATTCAAACTGGAAGAAATTATAGGTTAAAAATTCATACTTCATATTTTTCTTGTTAAACAAAAAAAAAGAATTCAGTTTTCAATTTAAATGGTAGTAGGTGTGGTAAATGCATAATGAAAAATGTACTTTAACTTTCGAATGATAAGTGAAAACGGTAGAGTTTATATGTTGAAAGAAAAGAATGGTAGATGAATTTAGTTAATTTCGATTCAACTTTTGATATCAACAAGTAAGTTTTGGGTCATAGATGAAAGATGATATACCACTAACTTCCTTGGTTTGTCAAAATGTGTCATATTAGTCTTGAAAAAAGCAAACTTTTGCAAACTTTTTATTTAGATAAATTATTTTGTAGAAACATAAAAATAATTTTGTTTCATTCTATATCAACCATTAATCCTTTTTATATTTTTTATTAAAAATATAATTTCATTTTAAATAGAGTTTGAATTCGAAGTATAAGAAAATATGTGTTATATACTAGCATAAACCACTATCACTTTTAGTTAAAAGTAATTATTTATATTTGTAAAATCTGATTATTTAAAAAGAAATTATTTACTGCTACTTCTAATAATATATGGTAAATGCTTTTTTTTTTCAACATTTCTTGTATTTAAAAAAAAATTAAACCATAACTACAGAGATTGAAGAATCTCGAAGAATCTGTTTGGCTGTGCCATTGGCGATTATATTCTCTGAGTAAAGAATATGAGAGAAATTGATAAAAGAGAAAAGGATAGAAAAGAATTTGATGTCTTATAGGATTCCATAGAGCTTCTTGATCTTGGCATCTTTTTATGATGGATTTGATAAGTTCTATAGATTCAGATCTAAAGCTGACTCTTCCGAAGTCCCCAAGCTGTGCATATGTGTGCATCGGTTTTGGTGGAGTAGTCTCCATTTTTGGTGGGCAGCCATATGTGTATATCCGCTGCGTCTCCTTTGCATTGTTTTAGGTAGAGGATCTTGGGAGTCCAAGTGGGAAGAATCTTATCGATGAGATGTTGGTTCCACTCTCCTGTGATTGGGTCCATAAGGTTCGAAGCTCTTAGGTCTTTAGTATCTTCTGCTGCTGATCCATAAGGTCTAGTTGGCTCATTGAGAGATAGCTAAAGTGATACAATATAAAAAATCAGTAAATTAAAATTAAATGATTCTGGTTTTAATATGTGAATTATTATTAAAATCTAGTTTTAGTAATTTCATAAAGTCAAATGATTTTTATTCAAATTCAAAGCAAGATTGGTGGTAAGAAGACAATTATTTGATTTAATTTAATTTTTTCCTTTTGTTTAAATGTAAATAATTTATTTTAAATGTAATTTATTGTAAAAATTCTTTGTAAGAGATATAAAAACTCATATATTCTCATTGTAAAGATATATAGAAATATTTAGAAAATAAAAGAGAAATTTCTCTAAAAGCTTAGACTTTGTTTATTCTTTTCTTTAGATTCATTTGAGAGATTGATTTGTTTCTATTGATTCTTGGAATAGAATTGTTTGTGTGATTCAGACAAGTCTAGTTTCAACGGTTGAGTGAGTCAGCCATCCCACCGACTGAGTGAGTCAGTCAACCCACCGATTGAGTGAGTCAATCAAAAGTTATATCTCTATCTCTATTTCGTCCACATTCCGCCAAGGCTTGTCAGCTCTTCACATCTTGTGATTAATAAGATTTGGCGTGATTCCAATCTTATATCACAAGGCTCGTCCCAAATGTTTGTATTCTGGCCATTACCAATTGCCTTGCCCATTTTTGTTTTCAGGAGGTCTCTGCCAATTAGGATCCTTCTCCATCCGTGTGAAGCTTAGGCTCTGAGGGGGACATGTAGGAAGGCTTCTCAGGTGCAATACTTGCTTTTAAGGATACAACTAAGCTTTTCGGGTTATTGAGGATTCGCTGGCTCTATTTTACCAAGAGGGCATCATTGAACCTTTTGTGTCCCTAAAACCCAAACTCCCTTCTCTTGTTGATCTCGTGAGTTTTATCCACGCTGTCCAACAGATTCTCCTCTTGTCTAGCTCTGAATCCCACCAGAAGCGGGTTAGGCTTGATTTGATGCGCTTACATAGGCTTGTTGGGATCTTGAAACAATTCATTGTGTAGGTTAGTATAGTTGAGAGAACATATTTCAGCATCGTCAGTTTGCTTGAACTCGAGAGTTTCCTTGTGGA